GAGGTGGAATTTCCCAACTTCCCCAGGTGATTGGCTTTGCTTAGATTGAGAGAGGAATCAGAACTAATCTGTGTGCCTGTATACTAATTGCTGATTGAAAATCAGTAGGTAATTGAACCACTGAAACCTTCCCCGGCTGTCTGCACCTCATGGAGCATTAAAAGAGGTAGCAAGACACAGTAGCAGCTGTAATTTATGCTTCACCCCTGCAATGGGAGCTACAATAACTCAGGTCCGATGCAAGACCCTCAAAGCCTTCCTAGCTATGGGAGCAGCAAGCTCCAGGCAAATACTGGAAAATAATACTTAAATGTCTCAGCTGTTAATTGCATGCATTAGTAATTAGTAAGATATTTAGCTGTATTTTCTAAGGAAGGAGATGTGACATGGATTTATAAATAACCACCTGAATTGTATCCATAGATATTACAAAACACATTTTAAGGAGTCTCTCACTCTGTTCTTAGTGAGAGTGATGGGAGATGTTGGGGGACATTACTCAAACCTGATAGAGGGTGGGAGGTGAAAGCTTTTATTGTGTGTCTACTATTTTCTTTAATCTAAACCAATTTTCATTTTTCTGGCCTCAGTTGTTCATAGAAAATTTATTTGCTGGAAGGATATGTATGAGCAAAACCTCTTTATGACATGAAATAATAGAGAAATTACAGAAACCAGAGCACTCCAAAAGTGTGTAGGAGAGCATTGCACACCCTGGATAAATAACTGGATGATTCTGTCTTTGTTTTTAACCTCCCTTCATAGCTTTTAGCAAATCACTTTCTCTTCTTTTTCACTTCCATGGATAAAATGGGATAATGATATTTAAGTACAATATTTCATAAAAATACTGTGCAGACCCATTAATAAATCCATTTGCAGGTCTTTGATTACCCTCAGTATATCAAAATGTCACCACTGAGCTTGCTGACTGCACTTATTTAATTTCCTAGTTCTACTCAACTTCTAGATTATAAAATGATATTTTCTGACATAACTTACGATACAACTAAAACTATCACTCTGAAAGTCACTTCAGCACTCATCCACTACCCCTTAGACAAAGCTATAAAGTACACAGATTGTCTTTTCTTTGGTTATTATAAAGATTTATTGGCTCTCTAGCTCTAATATCCACTGAAGGTTTTCTCTGTCAGTATTAACTCCTTAGATCAATAAATTGTGATACTGGTCTCCTGAGCAGTCAGTGTCTGCCAGCTACCATTGCAGTGTTTACCCCTGTTGAAAAGCAGTTGTAGCAAATTAAATTGGCTTCTGTTGGTGGATGGTCCTTATTTTATGTCACAATTAATGAAGGCTGACACATAGGTCACTTCCTAAAGAACGTCAGATTAAAGGCAAGGATTTGTAGCAAGAACAACCTGAATTTATGCGGTGAATCTGCTTTCATTTCTGGAGAGTTGCTGAAGACTGGAAGATGACTCTTCAAAAGAAGGAGTCCTTTTCAAAGGAGTGTGTTTTTAACACTGTGCACATACCTTATCTTTTGTGTTGCTGGAGAACTGCTGACTACATTCTCTAATCTGCTGTTAGACAGTTTACACTGTTATGTAGGTTTGTGAAATGTTCTGCTTTGAGGAAGAGGTAGACACAAATGGAATAAAACAAAACCAAGCCTGTAACTACTTTAAAACAGCTCTACAAACAACTGCTCTCACTTCCATCTAGCTCAAATGATGAGACTTGGTCCTCAAACAGGATCCTGACCTTGGATCTCCAAAATGGATGTAGCAATGGGAAAAGTTTGTTCTCTTGGACTTGTTTTCTTCCTTTCTCTCATTATCAAGATACTTCCTGATCACAGTTTAAACATTGCCCTCCAAGGATAAATGATTAGCGTGGCCTGTCAGTACCAAGATACCTTTTCAACTGCACAATAACAATGATGTATATTAGGTACCTTTTCAACTGCGCAATAAAAATGATGCATATTTAGACTGATTCTAGAAATTAGAATGAAACTTAGTGTTGATCTTTGCAGTCATGGAAGATTTATTGGCAAAATTCTAATAATGTCATTTTTCTGGATATTAGCAGCCTGTTCCAAACAAACAAACAAACAAAAAAGCCTAAAAGCACTGAGAGAAATGCTCACACAGTTTGTTTGGTTTTTTTTGTTTTTTTTTTTTGCATGGGCAAGATGGTATTTTTCCAAACTGTTGTTCTGAGAAATACTTGAATTACTTGGTACTCAGATATTTTGAAAATGTAGTTTAGGTGATTAAAGCTGTGCAAATTTTCTGCCCTCTGGTAAACTGAGAGATTTCCAGTGACACATGGAAAAGGCTCAGTCAACAAAACCCAGCTGTGCATTTTGTGCATAAAAAACACATATTAAAATGATAGTTGCACAGCAAAGTACTGCAAAATCAGATGTCCTAATATCTGCCTAATATTTTGAATTAAGATACAAATTATGTTTATTTAGCATTTGCAATGAGCTACAACATGTAATTATAGCCTCATGGTCTAGCATCTTCTGGTTAATTTATAACTAAAACCTATCAAGTTTATGCTGGTCTTGAAGTGAGTGGCTGCTTTTATGAGAACACAATTGGTTTAGACAACATCAAATAAAAAGCCCCCATTGAGTAAATTCCTCACGGTGATTCTTTTTTTTTTAATATGTATGGGGAGCTTTAGACTGCAAAGTATGATTATATAAACACACCACAGAGAGCAAATTTAAGTGGGGAGTGTCGTGTTGTTTGAAATTCTTCGTATATTGCTTCAGGAAGGCAAGCTATCAACATCTTTCATAGCAGTGATTAGTTTGTAAGGGTTTGGGGTTTTTAATAGCTTGAGAAACAACCCTTTTGGTGCTGTCTCACTCCGTCCTCCACTATAATAAACTGTGTTAGTGCCACTGGGTTTAATTAATTTACACAGGCTCAGATAGTGCTCTGCTTTCCTCAGAGAGGAAAATTACTGAAGGTGGTGGAGGAGCCACTGAGAGTATGTCTATGTGGACAGCTCTAGGCTCTCCTGCCAGTGCTCCTGACTGGCCAGACTCCAATTAATTTCAGTCCAGAGGCCATGTAGTCGTGGTGCCCCTCCTAACACACCCCTCACTCCCAACAGCCCTTCTGGTTCAGGCTTGGAACCACATCAGTGTGACATCAGACCTGGGCTGGATCCTGCACACTCATCATGGAAGAGCAATGTTTTGCTGAGGCCATCCTCTGCATGTGCCCTGAGGTGTTTTGTGACAGCACCAGCATCATCCTCAGGGCTGTTAAACCTTCCTTGGATTCCAGCTATCCCTGAACAATGTGCAGCTCACGCTTTGCAGATTTTCCAAGTGATGCTGTTTCATTGCTTAAAGATGGGTCTGTCCTCCTGCACACTTCTAATTGCAAATTAGGGCACTTGATTTGGTTTGGAAATCAGATGCTTGATTTTTTTTTTCTATTCTATGTAAATTAAAAGGCGAATTGTCTTCTGCTGAGCTGCTGGCATTTGAGGCAGAGAACATTCCCACAGAAGTGTCCAGTTTTGTCTGCACTCTTTGTTTAATGTAGAACGGCTAAGTTTCACTTCATTTTGTAAATATTACTGGGCAGTTTTCTTGATGATCAGGTGCAGGAGTCAGAGTTAAAATTTGTAGTGTTTCTGAATACAAGGAATACTCCAGAGATACTGGCTTTCTGACATCAATCTCTATTCCTCAACATCATCTCTGTGTTCCCTGGGTTATAAGTTACCTACATCTTTCTTAGAATGTAGTTATCATGGCCCCCTTCTTTCTCATTTACTTGCATCTCTATTATTTAGCAAGTAACTGTTGTCTTTTCTTTCAGCTATGGTGTAACTGATAGGTATCTAATTTAACTCACATTTTCTCAGTGGGTGCTAACTTTGAAGTCTCTGTTTTGGATTTGCCCTGTTTTGGATTTGACACAGGGATTTTGTACCCCAAATGTTGTCTTTTTTCATTCCTGACCAATTGGCTGAGTAAAATGCAGTGTCTCTCCAAAAGCGTGTTCTGATGAATTAACTGTTAGAAATTTCTGGGTGGAGCAGTGTTCTTCAGTTGCAGAATCTGGGTTTATCAAAGGACTTAGAGTAGATTCATAGCGATGCAAAACCAGGTATCAGATTAGTCAAGTGCACAAGTTGAATTTATGAGATCATTCTGTATTGTAATGGTACATTGTGAAAAGGGATACACTACTAGGCCAGGCAAACTTGTTGATTTTTTAAAAATTTTCTTAGTTTCTGTTTTGTTAGTGGTCATGGTGGATTATTCTAGTTTTCTCCAAAACAACTGTGATATTGTTTATATATATTTTTATGTTCTTCTACCGTTCTATATTGTTAAGTGTCACACACTTGCTTTAACATCTGTCACATCTGTAAAAATAATGACCTTGCTAACCAGCAAGTTACTGAAATGTGATTTGAAGAGAGCAGGGTTCTAGGTCAGTCTTTCAAGCATTTTGACTTGACATATCAATCGAAGTATACTGAATTGTTTTCATTTATAACTTTGGTCTTCACTGTTTCTTTTCTTGTATTAGTGCTTGTTTGTAAAGTATATTGACTCATGTGAACAGGATCTTTTTTTTAAACATTAAATGTAATATTTTCCTGTGATGGATTGCTTTCCTGTTAATATTTCCTTCTAAATATACTGTTGAGCCATCCCAAAAATAATTTAAAATTTTATATCATAGTTTCTTTTTAGATGAGTAAGTTTTTCTATATAAACAAATATGAACAGCATGTTTGTGTACTTGTGCATGTGTTTCAGTCTTTGAATGGGGATTTAATTCAAAATAAAATGCAAGTACTTACCCATTAGTGAAATACTTGAACTAATTACAAGCAAATAAAGTACAGGTTGCAGTTGTCAGTCTAATTCTTTTTGATTTCCAGTGCTGTTTTCAAGCTCTTTCATCCCTCCCTCCTCCAAAATGTAACAAAGTTGTCCATAGAAGTTGATTGGCAATGCAAACTCCTGTGTGCCTTTCTTTCAGAGTACGGACATGAGCCCAGCTGGCAGCACAGCCTCCCTCCCTGTCAGCCCCCTTCCTGAGGAGCCCTTGTTTTTCAAGGTACAGTTAATTCATTTCATCATAAATGTTGTCTATTAATCTTGGCTTATCATGTTATCTGCTGTACTGTGAAGTGTTTATTGTTGCTTCTTCCTTTCCTTCAAATTACTGTGATGCCAGCAGATGTTCTGTGTATGTACCATGCAATTTTCAAGAAACACCTAGAATACCATGTTGGTTTTGAATAGTTTTCCAGCAGACTACAGCTGTGAACTGTTATTTTTAAGACTGTGTTTTTATCCATCATCTCATTTGAGTCTGTGCCTTCCTGTAGAAGTGTGTGTCATCAACAGACTCCTCTTTATTTTGTATTTCAAGTGTACATTTGAACAAAACAATGATTAGTTTCTCCAAGGATACAGGAGACATTAAAGGTCTGTCAAACAACAGTTCTGGCAGAAGTTCAGTGTAAGCCACAGGCCTGGCATTTTAGTTAATAATAAATGTTGGGACAATGTCCACCACTTCATGAGATTTCACCTGTGAGGAGTGAGTTGCCATATGTCACATTTTCAGCTGACGCCATGGTATCCATGCCTGGGACACAGAATAGCCTTAGGCAGATCCTCTTGGAAGAGGTCTCCTGAGGCCACCCAGGTACTCAGAGCAGTGCTGCATCACCTAGCAAAGAGGTCACCTTGCCAGTTGTTCCTTTAGATAATGAAGAGGGAACTTGTGTTTTCGGCACCATTCACTCAATTGGGTGTCATAATGTGGACTTAGATACACTCAGAGGAGTGTCCCTTTTAAAATTTGCCCTCTCTCAAGTAAGTTTCCACCTTTTGTGTGCATACAATCGGTTGACTGGGTTGAGTTTTAGTCAGTTTGTGATGATGCTAAGTTAAAGGTGGGTAACTGGAATTAATCAAGTTTGATGATGTAAAGTTTGTGTCTCTCCTGCATGTTCTTCCAGCACAGAAAATAACAGTGTCCTTCTGACTTGGCCAAGCCCAGAAAAGAAACTCCTTTCTTTTTCCCCTCATATTTTTAGTGTCGGTGCAACAGTTGTGCAACCAGCCATCTGATTCTTGCTATTAGAAGGGTTGGGGATTTTGCTTGCTCAGTTGTTTCATCGGTGGAGGTACAGATGGGATATTAGTGGTCAGCTATTCACTGATTTTTATTCCTCTTTTGGGATTTTACCCTTTAAAGACCCATTTCTCAGTCAGATTTGGCTGAAATTAAGCAATGTTTTGCCCAAATACCAGGGTACACATCTTTATTTCTCTGGAACACCACTTTAAATGCACACTGAAGTCTCCTCCACATTCTAAGTCAGATTCAGTAGTTGAGTCTCCCCATGCCTGGAAAACCTCTAAGATATTACACTGAGAAAGAAATGGGCTGGTCAGCTCAGATAAAGGTGTAAGAGGTAAGAAAATCTAACTTCTTAATTTTCATGCTGAGGTAATCAAACATTGCTCTGTTTGCATTGGGGCACTGACAAGTACACTGCAGTGCCTTTATTTTTTAAGGAAATGGTGTACCTATAACCCAAAATGCGTTGTAAGTTACTTATTTAAAGTGGAATAGTTGCTCTTATAAAAAAATCAAGATGTTTTTCATATTAAAAGTCTAGTAGAAATGGTAAAAGAAACTGAAAAATAGGGCAAAGAGCATTACTTAATCTTTCATTTTCAGTCACTTTTCAAACCAGGAAACATTTTCCTTTGCAATTCAAGTAAAATGGATGGAGTTCAGACCAGGAAAAAGTTAAGTGCATTTCACAGCATTTAGTAGAAATAAAAATAATATAAAATGTAACAGTTTCTGTTATTTCTCCTTGGCTCACTCCAAGAGAGTGCACTGTTGTTCCAGTTGTAATGTCAATGACTGGTTTTACAAGCCATAACCCTCTCTGAATCCTGTCAGTCAATAATATTGGTTTTTGATGATGGGATGGTACATTTCCCTTGGCAACATGATAATAACCTTTCCCACATCCTTGCTGTAGAGAAGGAGATTGAAAAGGAAATTCCATTCTGTGGTTCGGAAAGCACAGGTGTAACGAAGCAGGGCCCTATCAACTGCCTCTCTTTGGGACAGTTGAAGATCTCTGAGCTAATGAGCTTTTATATTAGACTGTGAAGTGAAACCAAGCCTGGGTTCTCAATCATACCTGGTTTTATACCAAGAAAGACAGCTGTCCTTCCTTGTATTTTATCGATTTGCCTTCAAAGGAAACTCTGCATTTCCCCATAAGGAAAGAATGCAAATCCTGTCGCCATACTCTTCTTGTATAGCCAACTTCACCAAAGCAGATGCCTGTCATTTTTAGTCCCACAGGATATGTGCTGGAAAAATATGGAGACCCTAAGCTTGTACAAAACCATTTTAAGATTTTGAATTTAATCTAATGAAAGTTATAAACCAGATTTCCCTGGTAGTACTTGTAAGTTGCATCTCAGCTCTGCTAACACCAACCTCAGCTACCGTTCTCCCAATATGTTGCACATGCTGTGACTTGTAGCAGAAAGGTCCAAATCATATAAGACCCTGCTCAGGAGTGTTTGGGGCAAGATATTTTCCAGTACAGCAAGGGATAGTCCACCTGAGTCCATCAAATACCATTACTTTAAGTGAGGCACTGTGATTTACTTACATCAAGACAGTACCTTTAAAAGTGATCCCTGATACCCAGCAAAAGGAGTAGAAAACAGTTGGGTAAGAAATAAAGGTAGCCAACTCCAGAACTGTTGAATCCTAAAAGCAAGAGAATTAACTATATGTTAATTTTCCAGGAGAAAATTACCAGATAAACATATAGTTAATGCCATTCAGCAACCATTCTTCCATAACTGTTCTAAGTAGTAGATTTGGTTTTCCTTGAGGAAAGGGGCAACTTTGCACAGCAGCCAGTACAGCCAATTTTCTGTGCAGCTTTGGGTTCCTTCTCCCTATGGAGTTAGCAACACACAGATGTTCAGAGCAGTCTTCCTTAGCTGTGCTCTTCAAAATCTTAGCAAAAATTCTGTTCAGCCCTGTACGCAGACATTTTGGCAAAATGTTTCTACAACCATTTTTGATAAAGCCATCATAGGCATTTCTTTTTAATGAGGGTTTTTGTCAGCTTTCAATCCTCTGCTGTTTTCCATGTGTTTAGAAATGGAAGATCTTTTCCTGTATTGTAGAAAAAGTTTATTTCTCTGCTCAGAAAAGAACATCTTGTTGGTGGTTTTGCACTTAAACTTTGAAATAGGTAGGATCTTCTTTTGTTGAGAAGATTTTTCTTCTCTCCTTTTATAATATTTCTTTAAGAATTAGGTCTTTGTCTTGTGGGAAAAAGTTATGTCGCAATTGAAATAGTCGAGAACTAAGAATTTGGAATATAATGGAGTAGAATGGTATTTGTTATGCAACCTTAAGTGTTATTCTCTGTTGTAATAGCAAAACTGTAGCTGGCTCAAATGTGAGTGACTTTTAATTATGAGTACTTACGTCTGCTCTCATTAGCTGGAATTAAAAATAATCCTGCCTTTCATTTAGAAGATAAGTGAAGGAGTGGGTATTTCTAAAAGGTCAACTTAGCAAGCAATGTCTCATCCATTTTTTAGAACCTGTTCTTCTCTCCTACTCATTATCCTGTGCTTTATTATAATAGTATTTTATTATTTTTAAATTATTTTAAAATATAGTGACAGTCTTTTAAGATGAGATCTATGACAGCCATTTGGTACTTCAAATATCTAATATTAGCTAATTATACATTATCTGTTGTAATGAGCATCAGTCTCACTGGTTATTAGTCACAGCCAAGTTGTAAATAATAACCATAATAGCAATTTATTGTAGAGATGTTTAATTGTGTCTCAATTCTGATTAATCTCAACCATGCTTTACTAATTGGCATTAAATGAAAGAAAAAAATTCCTCCATTATTTCCTTTCTCCTTTGAGGGAGCTGAGAATTTCCTTCAGTATTTATTATCCTACTGTGTTCTGATTTCTGTAATTAATACCCTTGATGCAAATTCCTTCAATAAGAAAACAGAAGTGCCAGGTCAAGTAGCAAAAGCTGACAGTCCTCAGTAGTGTTACCACTGCTGTAGGTCTAGTAAAGTATAATCTGTACTAAATTATGTCTATACTTAGAGGTTTACTATTCATCCTGCAGCTTTACAGGCTCTGGAAATGCAAATCAGTGCAGTTCATTAATGGGCATGAGCTCTGGCAGCTCCTGACATTTGTGCCTAGAATTAGCAAGAGATAAATTATCCATTTGTTCTGTAATCACAGTTTAATTTTGCTGCACATATTTGGAATAATCAATATGAAAGGCACAGTAATGACTGCTGTTTAGCCCAGGGAATTGATCTTTCAGAGTGGGGCTTTGTATTTCTAGGTGTAGAATGAGATCTTTTCTTAACTTACTCAGCAGTGATGACAGCAAGCTGGGCCTGTAGTTCCTAAAGCTTCCTATGCTAGTTGGCACAGCCAGCTTATTTACCCACTCTACCTAAAATGCATTAATTTAAATATTTTAAGTATTTGCTGACACTTCCTTAAATGAAGATTTTAATGTGTTGCTTTGTGTTCAAAATGGACTCTGCAATAATCACGCAGACCTTGTGACCCCATGGCAGATGGAGCAGGCTAGGGTTCAGTGATGCTCTCCACTGGGCTGGAGGCCTCAGTAGCTCTCATCCCTCTCTTTCCACCTTCCAGCTGAATTTCTGCTTCTGTGAGAAGCATCTGAAGCCTCTGTGGTTTTGGTTATTTTTGTTTGTTTTGGAGATGTTTTTGATATTTTAGTAAAGTGAGTAGAGTTGTAGAAATATGACTCACACAACCCCACCTTTACTCTTCTGCTGCCTCAGTCTCCATCCTATTTTAGACCGGTCTGTCACCATTCTTCAGAGGTTTAATCGATTCCTCCCACTCTTAATTGTTCTCCCCATGTCAGTATTTCCTTTCTTTATGACTCCTGTGCTGGTACAGCACAGACTTTTAAAAGCCACATCATCACAGCAGCTTTCTGCCTTTGGTGCAAGCCTCCCATTT